ATATTTGGAGAACATTCTTGCAACTAAACTCTGTTAGCTGGGAAACTTTGTGGTTTCTAATAAAATAAACGTTTATTTAAATAACGCTGACATCCTCACGCTGTGCGAGGCATGGCTTAGTTCAATGTAAGGTTCTTCATTTCATTAACTCCAGACAAGCTGAAATTTACCCAAATGTTAGTCCTGCATGCAACAGGTGTTCGCAGTCACCGCAACAACTGCCCATATGTTCTGACTCTGTCCTGATTGGAGGAGTTTTGGAGATATGTACGGCATCCAGATTGACCCAGATCCCTTAAAGGGTTAGTTCACCCAAAAATGAAAATTCTGTCAGTATTTACTCACCCTCATGTTGTTCCAACCCCGTAAGACCTTCGTTCATCTTCCGAACACAAATTAAGATATTTAAGATATTAAGATCGCTCCTGAATACTAGTCCATAGGCTTCTTCAGGGAATGACTCTCGCTGGCATCGAAAAGTCATTAAAGACATCGTTAAAATAGTCCAAGTGACTACAGGGGCTCAATCTTAAGTTTATCAAACGACGAGAACACTTTTGTGCGCAAAAAAACAACAAAAATAACGACTTTATTTCAACTATTGGTTTATTTCTCCCTCTGCGCGAGTCAGGTTACTAGTTTAATAGCGTAAGCTTCTGTTATTGTACGTCACACGCATCACACACATGACCAGCGTCGGCCAATAGTGAGCCTACGTGTGACGTAGCTTTACGCAATCACACTACGTTAACTGACTACAGGCTCATGGAGAAGGAAGTGAATAGTTGAAATAAAGTCGTTATTTTTGTTGTATTTTTGCGCACAAAAGTGTTCTCGTCGTTTGATAAACTTAAGATTGAGCCCCTGTAGTCACTTGGACTATTTTAACGATGTCTTTAATGACTTTTCGAGGACAGCGAGAGTCATTCCCTCAAGAAGCCTATGGACTGTATGCAGGAGCGATCTTAATATCTTAAATATCTTAATTTGTGTTCTGAAGATGAACGAAGGTCTTACGGGGTTGGAACAACATGAGAGCGAGTAAATACTGACAGAATTTTCATTTTTGGGTGAACTAACCCTTTAATGTGCATTTTTGGTGTTGCTTCCGAGGATATAGAACTCAGGAAAGACATTCACTCTGTTATTGCCTTCACTACATTACTGGCAAGGCGTTTAATATTTTTTCAGTGGAAAGAGGCAGACGCTCCAACACATAGCAACTGGTTGAAAGAAGTGATGTCTTATTTTCAACTCGAAAAAATTAACCTGATTCGAGGTTTGAAACATTTCAAGACACATGTTCCCCCTTTAAAAGATATTTTGAGGACCTCCTCTACCTCTATGGAATAATCTGCCTTGTTAAATTATCTTTATGGGTTTTTTTTTTGGGTTTTTTTGTAATGTGTGTATGCCTGTCTTTTATAGATCCCTGTTAAAACCATTATATTATTATTATTAATATTATAATTATTATTATTGTGTCAGTACTCTTGCTTTATAAAGTGTGATTTATATATTTTTTTTGAAGATATGTCAATTCTTTGGAGCATATCCCTTCATTTATTTATTCTTCATATTGACTATGTTTCATATTATATGTTTCACACGCTATAGCATGACCAAACTTGGTGTATTTAGTTGCCATTTCAACACTATATAGAGAAAAAATTGACAAATCTTTGTAAGATATCACTGAACATTTATTTAACATATAGCGAAAGTACATTTCCTACTTAAGTTATTTTTTCATCTCTATTTTTGGTGTTTAATTAAAATTAGACAAATCTGATATTTTTTTTCATCTCTAATCTGTTGTTTAACAGTTGATATTGTTATTTAATGCTTCGCTAACTAGCAGACACTAGCAGGGTTTAAACCCCAGTTGTGCAGGTGGGGCATGTTGTGTTACATTGTGCCCCTATTAGAAATATGCTATTATATTATATAGTTTTATGAATTCTGTTAAGAAAACATGAGAAACATGTAAATAAAGACTGAGAGTCAATGTTAATTATAATTATTATTTTGTTTTGAACTATGCTGTAGCTGTGTTTTCCAGTGTGTTTGTTGTCAAACTCAAAATTTTTATATGAAAAAGTTAAAAATAATAATTGTAATAATTGTATTTTTTTAAGAAAAGATTTTGGTTTGACTTGTATATTTTTTTGATTAGATGAGATAGCATTTTAAGTTATGGTGATGTTATGGTGATGTTACAATGAACCCCACCTATGGGGCATGTTGTCACATTAACATTTCTTTCAGGGTAAATCGAGAAAAATAATGTGTCTAACCCTGAGAAATCCACTGTAGCAATGGATTAACAAAAATCAACTGGAAACAATATGTTGCTACTGTATTTTCTACAGTAAAGTACTGGCAACAACAGCTGATGTTTTTATTGAATTATAGTCGTGCAGTGAATATTTTATTCTTCTGACACAAGCACACATCTATCCAATGGTACAGAGCGGTGTTTCCTAAAAGCATCGTAAGCCTTAGTTGATCATAGAGGCCATTGGTGTCCGCTGCTCTGCCATCAACTCAGACTTATGATGATGCTTTTAGGAAATACAGCCCTGATCTGTAGACTACATACTAGGGCTGGGTAATAAATATGGATTTCTCGATATTGATCGATTCTCATTTTTACGAACCGATATCGATTCTGTTAAATCTCAAGAATCGATTAGTCATCCTGTTTCATTTGAATGACTGGAACATTGTATCGCGGCTGCGCGCATCCAAAAATAAAACGCAATAATCTTTGTCCTTTGTTACTATTGATATGAAACAAAGTCTCAATTTTCAAATTACGTCCATTTTCTTTAGAAATTCAAAAACATAAATAACGTTTTGGCGCTGTGGCGTGAGATCGCTCTGGAGAAGCAGCAGCGCTGATCTCACTTCCGGCTTAATAATACCAGTCACAGCGCCAAATAAACATAAATGAGCATCTGAAAGTGTGTTAAAGATAGAGTACAACTTATCGAAATCCGTACCATGTCACACCGATTCGCTCAATCAGCGTTTCAACCGTGGAAACGTCAGTTAAACAGCTTGTAATCAATGTCATGTATCGTCATATTTACCTCAGAAAACCCACATAAACTCGTTAGTCAGCCAGAAAAAATAACTCTAGAGAGTTATTTTTATATATATTTTGCTAAATATATACACCATATTACATATGCATTATAATCTTAATGTTCTTCAATATTTGATGCATATTTGAATAAATCTGGCAAGTTTTTATGACAGCCACCATTTAAAATGTTTATATTTTATATAATCTTCTTATTATAAAAATAAATAAAAGTGTAATTTAAGTGTTTGTATAGCTACAAAACAGTTCATTATTACCTTCATATTGGGGTGATGAAGCCTAGTAGGCTACAACTAGACTCCCATAGTTTACAGCATTAGTTTAGAGATTTGATTCCCTTGAGAAAATTTGCCATTTATTGTAACTGATATCCAAAATTAATCAATATTGAATCGAAATCGAATTGAATTGTGAAATTTGTGTCAATACCCATCCCTAATACATACATTAGAAAACATTCAGGAAATAAGCCAATAGAGACACAGTGTGTTACATTACCAGGTGAGATGGTCACTGGTGTGACAGTTGTAGGGCTGGTGTTAATGCGGTCAGTGTCTGAAAGTTTGGATGAATAATGATTAATCAACAGAAACACAAATATCATGAATGTGTAGAAAGAGCTCATGTGAATATAATTACCTGCACAGTATGCTGAATAACAGTAAGTTGGACTGACCAGCTCATAGACATAATAATCTCCTGGACAGGCTTTGACTTTAATGGGATAAGACCCGATATAGCAGCAGAAACCCCCAGTGTTACCGCAGACATCTCGAGTGACGACTCCATCTGTTACTGTTGGGTGTCCACCACGGATCCACAGTGGGAGATTAGTGCCACATCTGCCATAAGCAACACACGTGTCTGAGATATGAGCGCTAGTGCTGTTAATGAAGAGACGATACCAGCCGCTCCAGGAGACAGACTGGTCACAGTTGTGGGTGTTATATGTATTATTGATGGATCTCCATGGATCGTTCAGCACAGTGTAGTTGTTGCAGGGGTCTGACAGATTAGATGTAGTGAAAATATATTAAGAAATTAACAAGTTTCTGAAAAACATGTTTTATTACAAAATGTAACCAAAATTGCAGCATCAGACATTACGTTTTTCTTCTTCTTTTTCTTTTGCTGATTCAGAGCGATTCATTTTGATCCACAATATTTTGTTCAAATGCACTTATAGTATTATTAATACATCTTAAAGAAAATCTTTTAAATTGGAAGTAAACATGTTACACATGCAAAATAATCATTTACATATTATTATTATTTTTAAAACATTTTATTTCCATTTTATAAATGAACACTTTAAAATGATCATTGTTAGATTTTCAGCGGGAATCCTGGTACATAAACTAATATTAAAGTAACAATCTGGTATTCAGTTTCCTCCATATTTCATATGCATATAATGAAAAAAATGTTTAAAGAAAATGATTTGGTAACACTTTATTTGAAGGGGTGTGCATAAGACTGACATGACACTGTCATGAACATGAAGGAGTCTTTATGAATGTTTATGACTGTTGTCATTAAGTGTCATTCGGTAAATTATGACACTTTTAATGCAAAGTTGACATTGTTTAAAATGTCTTTGTTATGACAACTTGACATAAACAAAGACAAAAATGTCCTGTTTATGACAAGTTGTCATAAACCAAGAAATCATAACTAGTCCAACAACGTGTTCCACTTTAAAGTGTTACCTACTACAGTGATAACACGAGTTATTTCTATCTGATTTAAAGTCTAATTTTGTTGTTGTGACCTAATTCAATCAGATTTCTGTAACATAAAACAATGCTGAAATACAGCCCTGATCTGTAGACTACATACATTAGAAAACATTCAGGAAATAAGCCAATAGAGACACAGTGTGTTACATTACCAGGTGAGATGGTCACTGGTGTGACAGTTGTAGGGCTGGTGTTAATGCTGCCAGTGTCTGAAAGTTTGGATGAATAATGATTAATCAACAGAAACACAAATATCATGAATGTGTAGAAAGAGCTCATGTGAATATAATTACCTGCACAGTATGCTGAATAACAGAGAGTTGGACTGACCAGTTCATAGACATAATAATCTCCTGGACAGGCTTTGACTTTAATGGGAAAAGACCCGTAAAAGCAGCAGAAACTCCCACCGTAACCGCAGACATCTCGAGTGACGACTCCATCTGTTACTGTTGGGTGTCCACCACGGATCCACAGTGAGACATCAGTGCCACATCTGGCCTGAGCAACACACGTGTCTGGGATATGAGCGCTCATGCCATTAATGAAGAGACGATACCAGCCGCTCCAGGAGACAGACGTGTCACAGTAGGAGTTATATCCAGTACTGATGGATCTCCATGGATTGTCCAGCACAGTGTAGGTGTTGCAGGGGTCTGACAGATTAGATGTAGTGAAAATATATTAAGAAATTAACAAGTTTCTGAAAAATATGTTTTATAACAAAATGTAACCAAAATTGCAGCTTCAGACATTACTTTTCTTCTTCTTCTTCTTTTGCTAATTCAGACCGATTCATTTCCATCCACAATATTTTTTTCAAATGCACTTATAGTATTATTTAAACAGTGTGCTCTTCCATTATAAAGTGTCAAAGTTTTCAAAAGTTGGATGAGTACATAATGTTTAATTATATTCATGTTAAGAGTGTCAGAAATATATTACGAAGTGTTTTATGTACACTGTAAAAAATTTCTTGTCAAATTAACGGTAACTTACTGGCAACAATTATCCAGTACTTGCTGTATTTCATTTAACAGTAAAATTACCGTAACACTAACTACAGTACTGTTAAGCATACTGCAAATTAAATAACATTATTTTACTGTAATTTCTTACCATATTAAAGTACAGAATTACACTGTTAATTTTTAATAATACTGTATAGTATGAAATGTTATTGTATTTATTTTATAGTGCTACTGTGTAACCTGTAGAAAATCAGTAGAAATATTATTTTAACTGTTAATGGGAAATAGAAAAAAGAACAATTGAAGCTTTAACTGCACAAGGTTTATTGTGTATTTTCAAACACATTAGTACATTTACATAATATACATTTAAATACATTAATACAATTAAATACATTAATAATAAAAATGTAATATAATACAATAAAAATCATGCATGACAATCATGAACAATTATGCATAAATACATGCAAGAATTATCATGAACAGGTAAAATAGAAAAGATTAAAGGGGTGCTATCTGATCAATCTATTAGAAAGATAGTTCATAACAACTCATCCACCCACTCCCTGCTGGGGTAAAACAGCTTAAACTAGTCTAAGATTGTCTATTGGTTTGAGATAGACTGTCTAACTGGTCAGTTGCTGATTTTAAAGGGTTTTTGGCTGCTTTCTATCTAAGGGACCAGATTTGCAGGGCTGGGAGACACATATAAACTTATAAACTATAAAAGCTTTGACGAGTAAACCACCAATCCAGATGAGTATAACAAAATGACAAGTTATCCAGTGTCCTTTAAAAAAAAAAAATAAATAAACACAAAACAACCTCATCATGCACATGTGCCATGAAAAACTTGCATTACGGATATCAATAATTCTTTATATGCAGACTTATGTTCTAACTTTTGCAATAGGAAGTTTTCTATCCAAGCTTTTATGCAATTAAACCTTAAACTGTACTGTAACGTTTATTTTCACACAACAATTCTAAACAACTTGCAGATAGACAAAATTCACAGATGGATAAAAATCCGTTTAAAATGTTCTCAGTGGTTCAGTACTGGACCAAGGTATAGTAGTAGTAGTTAGATAAATAGAATAATTAAATTAGATTAGATTTACAATTCATCGGTCGTCAAGATGGATAGGGGTCTTCTTAACATGCACAGCTCACACCTGTGAAAAAGGAGAACAGACAAGACAGTTAAAATATAGTACGTTTTTGTTGTTGTTTTGGCTAAACAGCAAAAACAGACAAAATGATGTCTAAAGTGTAATTCACTTAATACTAAAATCTTGTTTGTTGGACTGTTGTTTAAAATCAATTCATTTACGATCACGTGAAAACGTAGGCTAAATCTTGCTTGTGTGATACTAAGTTACATGACTTAAAAAAAGATTGGCATCGTTCCCTTCAAATGAGTACATGTCAGTTTACACATAGTAAAAAAAAAAAAAATGATATTATAGCCGACAATACTGTAGTATATGCAGTGAATGGTTCCTACCGGAACACCCCCAGGCAGTTTGTGTAGTTGGTATGACCCGGGGTTTTTTTGTTGTTGTTGATTCTAAGTTCGCTAGTAAAGTGTTCAACACCAGGCTAACTCCCTCGTGTATGTGTCGTTAATGATAACCAAAGATTAACAAAGACCACAACAAATACTGTAAATGTCACACATACACCTTGGGCGCTTTCCGCGGTCCAACTTTATCACTGAGGTAACGTTATAATGGCAGAACGCCAGGTCAGGATTTACACGAAAATAAGCGTGAAAAAATCAATAAGAGGAATCGGCACTTTAATTTTATAACAATAAATCCGAATCCTAACCTTGGATGTCCGATTTCAGGATACATTTATCGATTATCAATTCCTAACCCCTGTAAGTCATAAAATAATGAACGTGCAGGCGCTTCCACCGACTTAACGTGGTAAATAACAAAATGATTAGACCATTTTGACCGTATAAGAGGTTACATATGAAATATATGTTAATAAAATCACATTTAATCAAGTAAGGCTATCAACATAAAAGAAATCCGCGTCTGACTTATACAGACGTTATCGAACATTCCGCGGCCACTTCTTTCTAACGGTAATCTGTTAACTCATATGGTTTGCATAAAAATATGAATTACTAACCAGATGTATGGCGAAAACGTTGCCGACCGACAGCGACGCGATGCACGGCCTGCGTGTTCTTACAGAGGGAAGGGAACTGAAGAGTTCTTCATAAAATGGCAGCTTGTTGTGGTTATTTTTCGCGGTCATTTCGTACTAATGTATTTGAATTTACAGTAACATCCCAAATGGCTACATTGAAGAGTAGCCTATCATATACATATTATATTAAAATGTCGAATATATTAAATTGAATATAGAAATCGTGGTCAGCTATTCTAAATAACTTTAAAGTTATTATTAGCTAGAATCCGTTTGCATACACATTATAAGAATTATTACTTACCAGATGAAGAAGTTGCAGGTCGGCAGAAAAGACAGCAGCACCACTGACACGACAGAGAAACTCTTCCAAAGTCAAATATGCTCTCATGCACACCCCACTGACATAAATTATGTCATAAATTATGACTGTTAATGGTCAACCAGTGCTACATTTTTATTTTAAATGTAAGAATAACATTAGTAGGCTAGCAATTTTACCCGTGGAACTGTGTGTGGTGTTTTTCGCGGTCAATTGCACTGCTGTATTTAGATTAACAGTAACTGATAATTTCCCAGAATGCATTACAATTCTACAGTAACATACTGTCAACTGTGTGCACAGTACATAACTGTTGAAAAAACAATTTAATACTGTGAAAACAACTAAATCTACTGTAACTTACTGTACATAGATTATACAGTAAGAAACTGTTGAGAAAAACAGTATAATCCTGTGAAAACAACAGAAATCATTTACAGTGTATGGATGAATTGGATATAATAGTTTTAAGTACAGCGGTTGTGTGTGCGTCGACTGAATGCAGTGATTTTGACCGATTAATGAATTGGTCTTTGATCCATGTAGGTGTTCACTTGACAGAAGCAACATTTAATGCTGGTGTGGCTCACTTTTTTGTTATTGTGACAGTTTATTTTCCTTAGATATTGTTTGTAATGCCATTTTGATCCATTTTATTGTTAATCTGATTATTTACTGTCATTGTGACGCTGAGTCTGCTTTGAGTGCGCTGAGGAGAGATGTTCAAATGACAGAAGCAACATTTAATGCTGTACACTCTTCATTTCATCCATGCTTCTGAATGCACACAAAAAATAAACTCTCCAGATCAGCAGCAGATCCAGTTGTTCCGTGTCTTCCTTCAGCTACACAACACAACACCGATCGTAGTAGGGTCTGGCAGTCAGAATTGGGCCCGTTACACACAGTAACCAACAATGACGTCGATTTGACCATATTAAAGGGGCACTTGGCAACTCTAGTCATTTCTTTGCCGATTTTCACTTTTGTTTTCGCATGTTTTCTCATCATCGCCCTCTACAGTTGTGCGGCGTATAGATTTTCACAACACGGTCATAAAAAAACTCACTCGCGGCACCTTCCTCACGTTTTCTACCGCTGCTTATGTGCAATTGTTATTTTCGAAGCCTGCCAACTTTATCTTGTGGAGCTATTCTACTGAGTGGGTAATACATCATACACTGTGTTATCATAGAATTATGTCTAATTGCCACAAAGCACTTCATGTTTCTTCGCTTGTTCAATCGTTCTCGCTTCTCACAAGACTTCTATTTCCAACTTACCGAGACGTTAGTTGCAAGGTTGGTTTTTATTCAGTCCTAATCTCTGACATAAAGGTATATTGGTCGTTACTGTATCCAAGTGATTTAACAGCAAAAATCCTAATTTATTCAATGTAATCCAAAAGATTTCTTAAAAGTTGTTCTGATCAAAAGTTGTTAAAAATGGAATTTTGTTTGGACACACAGACATCAATAATCAGCCTGTGATTCTCAACAATGGTGACAATAATAAAGCATGTTGCAGTGGATTCTGGGTGCCACCAATCAAAACTCATTCATAGCTCCCATCATACATTGCGGTATAAATAAATTATGATATGAATTGTCTTAGGAATATTCTTTGTCACCATAGTTGAGATTCATACACTGAATCTATATGTCTGTGTGTGCATGAAAGAGAGATTTTTTTTTATCAGAACAACTTTTAAGAAATAGATTAGATTATATTGAGCGACCTGGAATTTATACGGTTGAATCACTTTGAATCTGTAATGACCAATATACATTCTAATCAGAGATAAGGACTACTTAAGTTTCATCAGGTGTCTCCAATAATGCTCAATCATCGCTCACTCAATCAATAACTTAAATAGCACATTAACTTTAACACTCTTCAGTGTTAATTTAACACTCCAATTTTAACACTTTAACACTCTTGAGTCTTTAACACTGTTGACTTTTTGCTGCGTAGTAACATTCTGGAAACTGGACTTGAAATGTTAGCAATCAACATTACTATCATGATGAATTTTTAAGCGAAAATTACGTTTAAAGAACGTTTGAGGAACATTATACCTTTTAAAACACGTTCTTCTAACGTCAAGAAAACTGGACATTTTTCACGTTCCCAGAACCAACACTGAATATTTAGAGAACGTTCTTATTAGCTGGGAAATCAGTTATAATCAGTAATCTTAAAATAAATGCATTTAGTTTCAACATTTCAACCAGTTATTGTAGATGAAATCATATGAAGTACATTTTCTAAGTTGAACTGACAAAAATATTTATAGTGTACATTACCTGCAGTCGTCACCGGTGTTACAGTTGAAGAGGCCAAGTACAGTCTTAAGACATCTAAAAAATAATTATGAATAGAAATTAGTCAACATGTTACAGAAACAGAACACAATGAAAAAGCAGTCAAATAAACGTATGTGAATAGAAGCTTTTACTTAAAGTAACAGTTTGCCTAAAAATTAAAGTTTTGTCATCATGACTTTCACAGAATAATGTAAAGCTTTGTGTTTCTTTGAACACTCTGCTGGTGTTTCCCTTATGAACACCTATAGCATTATAATTCAGCACCGGGGAATTTACTGTGTGAGATGACGTGAAGAATAAACAAGATCTGATTCACTGGTCATTACATCAGCATACAGACAAAAAGCAAAAAAAAAAAAAAAAAAAATGGTTTAGACTTACACAGAATCCCAGAGATGAGAGGATGAGCTTTTATAAAACCTGAAATATGAAGAACAAGTCAATAAAAACAACTGAAGTTGTATTGGATTGAGTCTGAGAAAACTACATTCATCATCCGTTCACAGCTCATGAGGTTTTCGGGGCAACGAGAGCTAACCTTTAAACACAAGACAATACTCACCTTTATGAAAGGAAGCCATTGTCAGTTTGGACAGTCCAGTTTTTTGTTTATTCACAAACCAGTTCAGAGGACGAGTTTCCTTTACAGTTAGAGAATATACAAATTAGCCATTGCATTTACATAAACAATAATAATAATAATGCAAACACACATATAAAACATTACACAGCATTTGATTTTGAGACTTTTAAAACAGTTTTTGCCAAGCATTATGCAATAAAGGATGAAACAACTTGATCAATTTCTCATTCTACGAGGAAGCTATTGGCCAATTCATACGAATGACCGACCCCTGACCCCGCTCCTAAACCTACACTCTAAAAAGAGATTGTTGTGTCAGTTTTAACACAAGTAGTGAGTGTGCTCAGGGACAACACATGTTGTGTCAAATTTAGTAAGTTATTTTAACACACAAATTGTCATTTTAAAAAATAAAGCAAAAGGGGCAGATATAAAAATATGAATCATATAGTCGAGTACAGAATGCATGTGCACACAAAGAACAAGACAATGTTTCAATCTCAATGACTGGACAGACTCACTGTACTGTACATTATTCAGTTATTCAAGCTTCAACCCCTGATTGATAATGCTGCTTTTGACAAAAGTCCATGAAGAGAAAACAGTTTACCGAATTTGCACATTAGAATAAAATATAGAAACTGACAAAATTTTGTAAATAAATAAATAAA